TTTCTACATAGTCTTACTATAGATGACTTATAGTTTGTATTAAAAATCAAGCTAAGATTACATTTAGTCTTAATCGTACCCTCAAGTGAGTACTTGTCCCCTCAGACCAGAAACACGTGAACGGTCGTACTCTTAGAGTTTGTATACTCTTGGATCCTACTTCCTCAGTGCAATGTGCTGCGTGACCCCGTCACATAAACAATAACGCATACGTTCTGACATAAACCGACTCGATGGAATGCTCGACGAATAGTTTGTTCCTATGTCGATATCGGTAAGTAGAGTATCAGAGCATACTCTAAGCTCCTAAGACCAACTCAACGCTACAACCCGCAGTAACTTTGCTTGAGGTAAGTGAATTAGCGAGGGCATTTCTTCGGTCAATTTGTGATCAAGAACCACAGACGAGCTATGCTGCCGCTTGCCAAAGGGAAGTTACCACGGAAGCTCCGCCAACGGGATTTGCAGGTCTAGGTTGAAGAATTTGCCCGTGCTCTCATGGTTTAGCTTGCCGATAAGACTGGCCATGGCCGCCACGCTGTCCTCGGGCTTCAGGATGGCCTTGCCCTGGGTCATATCCGTGTCTTCGTATCCAGGATGCACCGACACAACAACGATGCCGCTTGGCTGCAGGTCAAACGCTAGAGATCAAGTGATTATGTTGAGCACGACCTCGAAGGACGAATAGCCGTAACCAGCCTGCTTTAAGAAGCCCGTGGTCTCGGTCGTGTAGCAGCCGATACTTCCGAGGTATGGCGAGAGCTGCACGACGGAGGCGCCACCGTTGGTTTTCGCTGCAAGCTGCGGATTGGTCCGCAACGCACGCGTCACGAGGAATGGCCCGGCGGCATTCATTTCGAACTGCGTCATGAGCGCGTCCTTGGTGCCAGTCTCGAGCTCGGTGGGGATACCAATACCTGCGTTTGTGGTGTAGTAATTTCCACGGCAACTCTAGCTACTAGTGCAGGTAGGATAAACCCACAACAATACGTCTACCAGAACGGTAAACGATC